AGGTACTTCCTATGCCCATACCCATATTATTAACCGCAAGGCTCTGACATTCGCAACATGGCCACTTTCTTTGAATTCATCGCTGACTACCACCACTCCAAGATCCGCAATAAACGGCTGGCCAAGCTTGGTTCCCAAGCGTCAAATACAGCTCAATCCAGCTCCCGGTCGCCGTCTGGTGAAAACGATTCGGAAGCCATGACCTCCTCTCCTGTCCGAGAACCCACATCCCAAAGACCGCAGATCAGTATTTCAAGCAGCCAAGCTCCGTCATACCCGCCAACATCATCGCAGTCAGATATGCGACAACCTAACGAAGAGGCACCTCGAATACGAATCGGAGCTCAACCGTCCCAAAGCAAGGCGAAGTCTCCCGATGTGTCCGGTACCACCACACCTCGAGTACCCCCGCAATCTAGTGAGACAATTAAAGATTTTGAGGACAAGACATTGAGAGCTGTCTTTCGAGTTACGCTGGATGAAAGTCGACGTGTTGATGTTCAAGGGCAGAAGCTTAGTTATCTCGTTGGGCTAGTGCAAGAACTTCAGGAGCAGGGCCAGGCACTCCGTATGAATATTGACGTTTTAGATCAGGCGCTTCTCGAAGCTGCATCTAACACCGACAATGGCAAACCCATGGAATACTTGCTTCCATGTTGGAAGAGGGTAACAAGGCTATATAAAGGATTCCGAAAGCAGAACGCGGATGACCGCAAGTATGTCATAGTTTCGGAGGCAAGACGACTGTGCATGAGTTATTGTATTTTTGCGGCGACAATTCCGGAGATGTTTGGGTATGTGCCCTGCCATCCAGAAATATTCCGGTAGCTCGCAACTGACTAGTGAAATTTGCTAGCCTTGGGACCCCTCCATCTTCTACGCTCAAACCTCACCTCCTTCGAGATCCGGAGGATGACTTGGGGCTATGTCACGACTTTATTACAGAAGCCGTTAAGAGATCGAATGAAGATGAAACGATTCTTCCTGCTTTCGTTGGAGCTGTTGAAGAAATGAGCCATGACCTTTCTAGCTTAACTTTGAACATGGATTACAAACCCTATGTGATGGTATGTTGAATAATATACTCTGCCATCTAATTTTTTTGCTCAGTATTATGATAGGCACTGCGAAACCTTGTCCGGTTTCCTCCATTGGCTGTCGCCATCACTGAGTCGGAGCTGCTGAACACTCCTGTCAATGCTGAGCAATTCGAAACTGCGACACTTCTTGGACCCTGGTTTCGCCTCTCTCCTTTGCAACGTGATGTGCCACTCAATTACTTTTCAAGCCCCAAAACTCGGGACCAGGGATTTATAGTCAACTCACAAAGAGCAGTGCGCATGATGCAACAATTACTTAGTTCAGATCTGTTGGATATCATCAACCAGCTTATCCGAGCTTCGAAATCCGCAAGGGAACGTGTCCTTGACTGGTTTGCGGCATCCGTTAACCTCAACCACAAGAGAAGAGCACTTCAAGTTGATCCCAAGACAGTCTCTTCGGATGGCTTTATGTTTAACATCACGACATGCCTCGACCAACTCTGTGAGCCCTTTATGGATGCTGCGTTCACAAAGGTGCCTAATTTCCCCCCTGCTGCTGTTAGTGGTTAGAATACATGTTTTGCTGACTTTGTTAGATTGATCGCATTGATATCGGCTATCTAAAACGGAATCCTCGAGTCAATATGAGAGATGAAACCAAGATTAATGCTGACCAGCACGCTTCGGATGCATTTTATGACCAAGTCGAGGAAGGAACATCAAATTTCATTACTGAAATATTTTTCTTGACTGTCGCTGCTCACCACTATGGTAGCGAATCGTTAACGGCAAAGTTGGAGCAACTGGAGAAAGACCTTCGCCATATGGAAACCCAAATTGATAAGTTGGAACTTGAGAGACATAAGTGGAAGTCTAATCCAATTCAGCTCAGAATGTTTGAAGACGCGTTGAAAAAGTACAAAGACAAATTTGATCTTGGTCTTTCGTTCAAGTACACCTTACAAGGCATCTTACTAGACGATATATGGCAGGCCCGGTCTATGCAAGTTATGCGATACGTCATTGTTTGGCTCTTGCGAATTGCATCAGGTCGTAATTTCCCGACGGAGGCTCTGAAACTACCGCTTCCTGAAAACCAACCAGATAATTTCAAATGTCTCCCTGAGTACTTCGTGGATGATGTTGTCAGCAGCTTCAAATTCATCATGTGGAGTATGCCTCATGTGATAACCTCCACGCAAGGTGATGAGTTGATCATGCTGTGCATCACATTTCTGCAGAGTTCGGAGTATATCAAAAACCCGTATCTCAAAGCTGGATTGGTTACGATACTCTACAGAGGGACCTGGCGACGGCGTAATGGTTCCAGGGGCGTTCTTGTTGACCTCCTCAATTCCTTACCTTTCGCCACAGAGCATCTACTTCACGCCTTGATGAAATTTTACATAGAAGCGGAGTTTACAGGGACACATACGCAATTTTTTGACAAGTTTAATATTCGATACGAGATCTTCCAGATTATCCAATGTATCTGGCCGAATCCTGTCTACCGAGACAAGCTTCATAATGAAGCCAACTGGAACCTTGACTTCTTCGTTCGCTTTGTTAACCTCCTTTTGAACGATGTTACATTTGTACTCGATGAATCCTTTACGGCTTTCTTGACGATTCATGATCTGCAAGTTGAGCTTAGGCGCGAAGGATCTAATATGGAGCAGAATGTTCGCCAGCAAAAGGAAGAACAACTCGCTGCGGCACAAGGCCGAGCAAAATCTTATATGCAGCTCACAAATGAAACGGTGGCCATGCTTAAACTCTTCACGGAGGCATTGGCTGATTCATTTACAATGCCCGAGATCGTACAGCGCCTTGCTGACATGTTGGATTACAATTTAGACGCTATGGTTGGCCCCAAGAGCGCAAACCTCCGGGTTGACAACTTGGCGGAGTATGGCTTCAAACCCAGGTCGCTTCTAAGTGAGATTGTCGATGTGTACCTGAATCTTATGGACAAAGAAAACTTTGTCGTGGCTGTTGCCCGTGATGGCCGATCCTATAAGCCGTCGAACTTTGAAAAAGCAGCTGAAATCCTCCGTAAATGGGCACTGAAACCGCAGGAGGACCTCTCCAAGTGGGAACAACTGCAGACCAAATTCAGGGTTGCCAAGGAAGCCGATGAGCAAGCTGAAGAGGATCTTGGAGATATTCCTGACGAATTCCTAGGTTTGTTCAACGTTAACCATTTCTCTCTGCTGCCACAGTTACCTGACGTATACCCTTTCAAAAACAGATCCCTTGGTGTATACTCTCATGGAAGACCCTGTTATTCTTCCTAGCTCTAAGGTTTCCATTGATCGTTCTACCATTCGATCCCATCTTCTCAGTGACCCAAATGATCCATTCAATCGGGCCCCATTGAGCATCGAGGACGTTATTCCTGGTGAGTCTTTACTATTTATCGAATCCTCACCCAAAGATTCTCACCCATGTTCTTAATACCAGGACTGACATCTTCCCCTATTTTTTCCTTGCCAATCTTAGATACGGAGATGAAAGCTAAAATAGAAGCTTTTAAAGCCGAGAGAAAGGCTGCAAAATTGGCAGCAATGACTGCCTCTGCTCTTGAAACCATGGATACGACTGATGGCTAATCGCAAGGACCAACAGCAATGTTGAGTAGCCCTCAGCCAGTCTTCTTTTGACCTTTTGGTTTGTTGATTTATTTTTTATAAACTCACTCCTAAACATCCACTATTAATTTTTATATGGTGCTTCTAGTACTCTTTTTATGCACAAGTCCTCAATGATATGACCATACGATTAGATATGCGTGCCACATGTAATTTCCGCAGTATTTCGTTTTCGTCTCTTCTCTTGCCGATTGTTTTGAAAGCACTCTGAGGGGCAGTCGTCCAACTGGATATTTTTGTTCCAATTGCAATGTTGAACAGGCATAGAATTGCGATGATGTTTTTCTTTTGCTTGCCAATTAGGTCTGGCTCAGACGCGTTCAATTCAATCTTTTATCCTTAGCCGGAGCAGATTATATCCGTATTTGGCCCATGAATGAAATGAAAATAAATTTACAAATTTTTATGGTGTGTTTTTTCTGTGCGGCGGCTTGTCTCGAACTCAAGTTGGCAGTTGGGCTTCAAACGAGTGGGTCGATTTATATAGCATGTATGTTAAATTCCTCGTCCAGGTGTATTACTGCGCAGGATAAGCTGTTGGTAAATCAAAGAAAGCGATGAATTGATTCTCGGTTCGTCTCATCCCGTATTTATCAACGACGCGAACAGCGACTTGTCACTCAGCATCTAAACGCTCTCCTCTTGGCGCGCCGGGGTAGTGTTGACCTATCCTGAACCGTGTGATATCATTGAAACCTACGAGAATCTTTTCCTCCCACAGCGGCAACAACAACAACAGCAGCAAACAATAACCACCTCGATCCAAGCCATGGACACTCTTATAAGTTGGGGTAACTCCCTCCCACCGCTCCAAGAGTTCGTCCCTCCGGCATCTCCAGAAGCCTACATCGCTCTCCTCACAATTTTCCAATATTTCCCCCTGGTAAGTAGTATTGGTAACTGCTATGGACTCAAAACGCTCCTAGCACATCAAATCAAAAAGAAATGCTGAATCCGCCTTCTAAAGGTGACCTTCATCCAACTAGCAACCCCTTTCTACCCGCAAGGAAAAACCTCACTCCCTTCCTCTCACCTAAACTTCCCTGGCCGCTATGCATGGGTCTGTATGGAGAGCGTCGGTGCTCTCAACATTATGTATACCCTATGCACAGGAACCTCCAAGTTTCCCGGAGGCCAGTTGCCGATTTGGCATAAGACCGTCGCGTGCCTCTATGTCCTCCATTATCTAAACCGGGCCGTCATAACACCGCTCTTCCTCGCGCCCAGCATGTCACCAATTCACCTGGTCATTATCTTTTCGGCTATGGGATTCAATTACCTCAACTCGAGCTGTATAGCGGGCTGGTTGTTAGGTTATGGGACACCAATCCTGGGATCAACAGCGCCCCAACCACAGCAAACACACCTATCGCGGTCCTCAAGTTTCTCTGCTAAATATTTCCCAGCGGAATACATTCCTTATATCGGACTCTGTCTGTTCCTAATAGGAATGTATGGCAACATCAAGGCGGAGGGGACTTTATTCCGCCTACGTAGGGAGGAAGTTGATAATAATAAGAATAACAACAAACTCACAGCCACCCAAAACTCAAAAAACAAGTACGACAAGGTCTACGTCCTCCCACCTCCCACCGGCTGGTTCCGCGCAATCCTCTTCCCTCACTATGTCTTCGAATGGCTTGAATGGCTCGGCTTTCTCTTGATAGGATTCTCCATCACACCAGCCCTATCCGCCTCCGCCTCCGCCTCTTCTTCCTTGGAAACTAATGATGTCTCCCCCCTCGTCCTCGCCCCTTACTACGTCCCTTTCGCGAACCTCCTGCTGCATAAATGGGGGTTACCATTTCCGCTCCCGGCAATTACATTTCTTGTGAATGTAGTATCGACAACGGCCGTGCGCGCGAGTTGGGGCCGGAAGTGGTATGTGGACCGCTTTGGAGCGGAGCGAGTGGGGATTCGCGGAGCATTTGTGCCTTATTTTAAGTGGTTGTGATTTTTGCTCCATTTTTGCAGAGTACATATAGGACGGGAAAAGTAATTTTTTCTTTTTTTCATATTATTTTCTCCATTTTTGTTTGTTTTACAATATTTATAGCTGATACTGTGTAGAATCAACCGTGTGGGGGAAATGTCTCCTATAACTTGTTGATTTTACTTTGTAGAACGGGTGGGACTCGAACACCTTTTTCGATTTTTATGAATCGATTTCCTAGGATTCAGGGCCCGGAATCATCTAAATGGAGCGATAAGGCGATAATGTAGTTTCTCTCGATTGATAGTAAGCTCCATAGAACATGAGCTCGTAAAATGCGGAACGGACAGATTTCAGGGGCAGTAACACAAGATGTATTTTCGATTAAATGTAAGCCTGCTTCTGTTATTTATAGGATAAGCATGTACCCCAAGAGTTCATTCCATTTCATAACATCGCTTTTGATCGTAAATCCCACCTTATAAGATGTCGTTGAAAAGAGAAAATGAAAGTAGCAGAAAGGAGGAACGAAGAAAGACACAGCGAGGGACGGGGAAGAGAAATGTTCGCCAAACCAAAATCAATCGAGGGAGAGAAAAAAAAAAGTAAACATTAGAAGGGCTGATAAATTAGAAGACAATTCCAAAGATTACATACAAAACAAAAGAGAGAAAGAAAGATAGGCAAGGAAAAAGAAAACGCCGATGTTGAGATCGTGGGTATGATATTTTTAACTTTTCTAACTATCCTAATGCATGCATGTTAAAACATTCCTCATTGTTTTTTCCTTTTTAGTAAAAGGAGTCGTCTCTATAACTCATGATCATTAATCACCATCATATCCTAGTCACACGTGTTGAGCATAATTGCGACATTGAAACCCGCCTAGTTGTTGCATTTATTTAGCATACTTTTGGCGGAAAAACTTGGCGGCATTCACCATGTTGGTGAGAGCTGCCTTGGTCTCAGTCCACTGTCTTGTCTTCAAACCACAATCAGGGTCGATCCAGAGTTGATCTGGTCGAAGATAGTGAAGCATCTCCTCAATGCGAGACTTGATTTCCTGCTCGCTTGGGACACGAGGGGAGTGGATATCATATACACCAGGGCCAATATGCCGTGGGTAAGCCTCGTCGACGAAGACTTTGAGAAGCTTGGCATCACTCTTGCTATTCTCGATACTGAGAACATCTGCATCAAGGGCTGCAATGGCATGGAAAAAGTCTTGGAACTCGGAATAGCAGAAGTGGGAGTGAATCTGAGTGCTGTCTTCTACTCCGGATGTGGCAAGGCGGAAAGCCTTGACAGCCCAGTCGAGGTAAGCTTCACGCTCCTTTCCGGATCGGAGTGGAAGGCCTTCACGAAGAGCTGGTTCATCAACCTGGATAACAAAGATGCCAGCAGCTTCCAAGTCAACGACCTCATCACGGAGAGCAAGGGCGAGCTGCTGAGCTTGCACAGACTGATGAACGTCATCACGAGGGAAAGACCACCGCAGACAAGTGATCGGACCAGTGAGCATTCCCTTCATGGGCTTCTTGGAGATGGAAGCAGCATATTTGGACTCCTTGACTGTCATTGGCGCAGGACGCGAGATATCCCCAACAATGATAGGAGGGCGGACGCAACGAGAACCGTAGCTCTGGACCCAAGCATGGGTGGTAAATACATATCCAGTCAACCTCTCACCGAAGTATTGGACCATATCATTACGTTCTGGCTCTCCGTGGACAAAGACATCCAGATCAAGTTCCTCCTGAATCTTAACAACGTCCTGGATTTCTTGTTCAATAAACTTCTCGTAATCCGCAGCCGTAATTTCACCCTTGGTGAACTTGTTCCGCTGGATCCGAATATCTTTCGTCTGAGGGAAAGATCCGATAGTCGTAGTTGGGAACATTGGCAAATTAAGCTTTGTTTGTTGTTGGCTAATTCTGGTTGGGAACGGGGACTTGCGGTTGTGCATTTCAGGAGTGACAGCAGCTTGTCTCTCCTTGACTTTGGGATCATTAGTCCGCTTGGATGAAGCACGTGCTTGGACGGATTTGGCATTAGCCTCAAGCTCCTCCCGCACAGCAGCAGGGCCTTCAGTGACAGCCCTGGCAATTATAACAACCTCAGTGGCTTTCTCAACAGCGAAGCTGAACCAATCCCGAACCTCTGGGTCAAGGTTCTTTTCACTTTCGAGGGTGTGAGGGGTGTGTAGAAGAGAACTCGAAGTGGCAACAACAACTCTGTCCTTGCCAAGCTTTTGGATTGCAGTCTCAACGATCTCAATTGCTCGCTTGAAGTTGGTCTTCCAAATGTTACGTCCATCAACAACACCAGCAGATAGAGTTTGCTTGGGTCCAAGGGCATTGATAACGGTGTCGAGTTGCTCTGGGTTGCGGACTAAGTCGACATGGATACCATGGAGGCTTTGGAGGGATGGGAGGACGTCAATGTTGTGGACAATGTCACCAAAATAGGTTGCAAGAACCAACCGAGGTGCCTTGTCACCAAGCGAGCCTAGCTTCTCGTAGGTTGGTTTGAAAGCAGCCTTAGTTTTCTCTGGCAAATCAAACACCAAGACAGGTTCATCGATCTGAACATCCTCGGCTCCAGCAGCCTTAAGCTGGGCCAAAAGGTCAATGTAGAGAGGGACGAGCTTATCGACAACGGAGATGGGGTCGATGGTCTGGTCACGATCGGCCTTGGCGAGAGCAAGGAAGGAAACGGGACCCAGAAGGACTGGGCGAGTGGTAATACCAGCATCCTTAGCTTCCTTGAATTCAATAACCGGCTTAGGGTTGCTTGACAACGTGAAGGTTTGAGAGTCCTGGAGGGTAGGCTTAACATAATGGTAGTTTGAGTCGAACCATTTTACCATTTCCTTGAATGAATTGTGTTAGTAACCTGGAATCGTACGATCCTAGCGAAGTAGAATCTTACCAAGCTGGGGACGTCGACAGCAGGTTCGCCATCCTTGGCAGGCCTTTGCAAGCCTCGACCCATGGCAAAGTATTCGTCAACGGGATGGAGGCCATACTTGGAATATCTCTCAGGAATTACCTGTTGAGGGCTTTTGTTAGCGGATGACAAGGATCTCAAAGCCAAGGAAACCGAGCAAGTAAACGTACACCAAAAAGTTGGATATGATCAAGGACTTGGTCGTAGAGAGCAAAGTCATTGCTGGGAATAAGATCAACACCGGCCTTCTTCTGGATTTGCCAGTGCTCGAGACGGAGTCTCTTGCCCTCGTCGAGCAGCTCGTTGCGAGAGAGTTTGCCTCCCCAGTATGCTTCGGTGGCCTTTTTTAGGTCTCGGAGACGTCCCATACGGGGGAAGCCGAGAATAGATCTGAGGTTCTTGATTAGTACTTACGCAGATAAAATCAGTCAATTGAGGGATCTAATGTATACTTACGATTGAACCATTTTCACGACTTTTCTCTAGCAATTGTTTCCGAAAAGGATCAAGGTGGGGTTGTGAGACGGAAACAGAGTGTTGTCTGTAGCACCCTAACACACGGTAGACACACAGCAGGGCAATCCCAGAGTAGGGTGACGGGGGAAAGAGAGAGAAAAGAAAGTATCAATTTGGTGAAGGTGAGGATGGAGGTGGGGATGGAGGGGAAGAAACAAAATTGGAAAAAAAGTTCACGGACCCGAAGGAGGGGTGCTTCCGCTTAGTCACACTTAACTAACTCTGCATAACGACATCTGATTGGTTAACTGCTGCACATCACACCACCGATTATTTCACGTGATAAGCGGGGCGTCCACGAGAATACTGGTCATGTGATATAATATGCCCTATCCCAGGCCAACCTCACACGGGAAACAAGGTTGGCTGCTGAAGATATATCCAGACTGGCTATACCCCATATCTGAATCTTTGGAGTTGAGCGCATGATGGTAATTGAAATGCTGAGGAGCCCTAGCTGCCTCGACAATAACTAACAACGAGTAGAACTCCCATCCCCATTAATTCTTGCTGATCTCTTTGCCTAGGTACTACTATTATACTAGTATCTGAGATATAGAAAGTGCCATTGAAGGCCAACACCAGAACCAAAAATGACAAGATCGATGCTATCTTTCTCGCTTCCGGTTTTATTTTTAATGTTTGCGACAAGTTGCTTATTTTGGAAAAAGAAACGGCCTTTCCATGTTGTTGTTGTTGTTGTTGTTGTTAATATTTGAGGGTTCCTGGGGCTCCTTCCCTCCTGAGTTCCGTGTAAACAGTTATATGGCTCTCATGCTGACTTGAATATCTGTCTTTTAACTGACCAAATTGTTGTTCCATACGAGAATTTCCTATCAGACTGGTGACTTTTGAGTCCTCGTTATTTTCAGAGCGAGACAAGCCGTCAGAGTTCCTTCCCCTGATTCGACGTCCATTGTTCTAAAGAAAACTCGAAGTGGCGAAGTTTGCTGCAGTATCTATTATAAGCCACTCACACAATGGTTTTCAGTCCATGCCCTCGAGGTCAGCGATCCAAAGGGTCGGCGAATAATGCAGAAGACGTTGTGCTTCCTGTTGATCTAGCCCACCAAGATCTTCCAGCTCGACCAAGTTCCGCTGCCGTGGGTAATCTCAGCGAGGAAAGGCTCGCTTTTGAGGAGATTTTCCGTCCCTCAACACGTCGGACGGGCAATCCAGAGACGGAAATTACGCCTGGATTTCATCAGTTTCCAAAGACCGCAGCCAATCGAACGATACAAATTCACCCCAAGGCCAGTCGGATTAGCTTAATCCAGCTATCTCATAAGATACGAAGAAGGCTTTCTAGGGAATCGCAATTGTCGAAAAAGTCCTCCAAGATATTTAAGGGACGTGGAGTTACACTCCAGGGTGGTGATCAAAATGTAAATCCGGCTGTCGGTGTGGATATCACGACGAATAATGATGCTGAGTATGACAGTGATGCACGTTGTATTTTAACTCCTCAAATTACAGAGCGTATCGCAGATGGTATAATCGGTTTCATCAGCAAACCAGACACTCAAAGCACCGAGCGTCCCTCAGACATCAACCATGATATGTTTCCCACAGGACTTGACGGAACCTCGTCCGCAATCTGTGATGAAGCATCTAACCCTGAAAAAGAGGTACCCACCGCCAATTTAGAGTCTTTACCAGAAAATAAGCGGAGGA